CCCTCACATGTCTCTTCGAGAATCTCATTACTATTTCCCCAGGCAGATTATTTTTTATATATATATACAGAATATGACCTATAGGCCACATCCATTTTGCTCATCAAGTACTCCGCCGTCAAATCTGTCACCGGGGCTAATGCTTCGCTCAACATTTGTTTCAGATTCTCTCCTTTAGATTCTGGGGCACCCTGGAATTGGAGGACAAGGTTTGCCTTCTCCATTTGCAGCTGTAAAAGTTGTTCTTCTGTGGAGACTTGCTTCTTTTCCAATTTTTGTACCTTTTCCTTCACCTTTTGGGTAGTGGCGTCAACTTCTTTCACCTTCTCAGCTGTTTGCTCTGTGACTTTAAGAGTCTCATTCACTTGTAATTGCTGGGTGGTGATACATTTAGTCATTGTAGACAACTGCTCCTTGATGTTAGTCATCTGTTCCAGCAGGGGGCGCAGAGATTCTGACAACATTTTAGCCAGCTCAGTGGTTCCTTCCGGTCTTGGGCTCTCCTGTTTCACTTTTAAAAGTTTATCCTTTTCCGTCCTCTTCCCCACCATCTTTTATCAATTGTTTACTTTTGCCGCTGTTTCTAAAGTCTCTGAATGTGTGCTCAAACGCTTATACAAGCCTTGGTGAGTTTTTCTCAACAGATTTCAATGCTTCCGCTCCCCCCTATTTTTCCGCTTAAAAGTTCATTTGCGTGGGAGGGGCCCCTCCTCCTGCTCGCTTCACTTCTCAGTCTGTGGGGTGGGGAGTTTTCTTTTTAGATTGTCAAAAATGCTTTAATCTGACTCACGTTCATATTGGTCTTCCGACCACGCTTAGTCTCTTATTCAACCGCTCAATCCCCAGTGCTTGTCCCGGTCAGCATCACTAGGTTCCATACAAACACTCGCAGGAGGGACCATCGGGGCAAAGAGGCACCTCAATTCCCCAGCGTCGCGCTGGCGAAGAGGTGACTTCTCAAAAGCCCCATGGCTAGAAGCCCTTCACCAGGCCTCTTGGGGGGCAACGAGCCTGGATACCCCCTCCTTCCTGCTCGTGCGCAGCTCACATCCCCAGGAGGTCAGGGAGATGCAACTGCTCAGTGTGCCACCATCCACCGGAAAGAACAAGACTGTCCTTCTTAACATCCATAGTATTGGTTCTGGTCTGCTGTTAACCAGTAAACATAACTGTGCCCTTTCCATTGGAGAGGCTCAGTCTAAACCATAGCCATCTGTGGACAGAACTCTCAAATTTTCTTCAGGGCCAATAAAGTGAGGCAATGCCATTTGTGTGGAGAAACTGTTTTCACTCAGGACTGACTTCAGGATGAATGGCTCCTGAAAAACCTGATGGAGAGGGCTTCCTATGCATCTGATAAAGTTTGTTCTAAGCACAAACAGAATTTAGGATAACAAGATGGTGGAGGGAATATAGAACACCAAAAAGAAAATAATAGTATGGTTTCCAGTCTTCCAACTGTCAGGCCCTATACTCAATCCAAGCTCTTAACTTTTAAAGCAAAAATCCTCCTCCAAGTTCCTCAGCCTGATCTGGGGTCTTCCACTTCATCAACCACACCCTATCTTTATGATTTCCAGAAGCCTCAGAGTCATGGTGAAGATACATTCTTTGGATAAACTAATCCTCACAAGGACTGATTTGCTCACCAGGACAGCTTTTTGTATGTTTACATGGTCCATGGACATGTTGTAATACTGAAGGTAACACATAATGGAGTCAGATTTTTTAAAAATCACATGTTTATTTAACTGGTAAGAATGACTGGTTTTTCTCCCACCTTCTTCAGCTATTAATGCAGCAAAGAAATTCAGACCTGGGTCTTGGGAGAATACACATATACAGTTCCAGGTATGTGAGAAGAATAGACTTATAAATAACAAAGTGATAGATGTTTTGCTTTTCATTTTTAAAGGAGCAGCACCTAAACTGCCAATTCATAAAAACATTGGAAGTCCCTACCAGACTCTCTCCATAATCAAGATAATCTGTTCACCCTTCCCACCAGAACTCACTGGCTTTTCTATTTTTTTCCTAGACTACACAGCTGGTCAGCTGTGAAACTGTTTGTTTATGCTCTTCTAACATTCCAGTCTTCCTATCTCCTATTTTAAAGGTAATTGGATGTAGCTGGAGAAGGCAAACACTTTATCACACCCACCTTCCCTTAAAGTTACTGAAAATAAAAACCAATGGAACTTCCATAAGTATTTTGATTAAATAAATTCTCAAGAGAATTCGTACCAATCCCAATGCATTTGTAAATTTGAAAATGGTATAACTGGTATGAATGGATATAGGTAACTTCTGAGAGAGGCACTATATTCAGCATTTCCTCATTTTAATTTGTTTCTTGGTGTTCAGCTCAGGCTTCAGAACAATAATGTAGCATTTGGGAAAGAAAATGCAGCCCAACAGCCCTGCACTGGAGGCTAATATAGAGAAAATCTCCACAGCCACTATGTATTTCCCTTTAGTGCTCAAGTAGGTTGGAATAAAGGACAGCCAAACACTGCAAAAGACCAACATGCTGAAGGTGATAAATTTGGCTTCATTGAAACTATTAGGTAGTTTTCTGGCAAGGAAAGCCACAGTGAAGCTGGCAATGGCCAGGAAGCCCATATATCCGAGGACACAGTAAAACATGGTAGCTGAGCCCTCATTGCATTCCAATACAATTTCTCCAGTCACTGAATACATGTCAACATCTGGAAATGGGGGAGCAGTTACCAACCACACAGCACAAATGCCCACTTGAATAAGGGTGCTTAAAAGAATGATGGTGTTGGCTTGTCTTTTCCCCACCCACTTCCTCATCTTGGATCCAGGCTTAGTAGCCAGGAAAGCTAAAACCACAGTGATGGTTTTAGCCAATACAGAAGAGACAGCCACTGAAAAGACGATTCCAAATACTGTTTGCTGTAGGAGACAGGTCACTTTCTTAGGTTGGCCAATGAATAACAGTGCACAAAGGAAGCAAAGCAGCAGTGATAGGAGTAGAGTATATGTGAGGCTCCGGTTGTTGCCTTTCACAATGGGTGTATTGTGGTGCTTCACAAATATTTTTAGCACCAGAGCTGTGTTCAAAACGAAGAAAAGAACACCACTGGCTAAACTGAACCCCAAAGGTTCCCGGTAGGACAAAAAAGTTACAACTTTGGGAATGCATGCATTCTGTTCCTGATTTGGATAATAATTGCCTTCACACTGAAAACAGTCAGCCATGTCTGAAAAATAAAAGTTGTGCTACAATCATGCATAGTGTAAGTTGGCATGGGAACTTGTTCCAAATCAGAATAGCTCATTTACCTTTAAATCTTGACATCATGAGGCAACACTTGGCCATGGATGTGTTCAAACCAACCTGCCAGGAGGACTGTCTACTGGTCTTTATGCCATTTTCCAATCAGCACCATGTATGCAAATGCTATGATGTTTTCCTCCAAATAGTTCTAAAGCCAGGCTGCAGGGTGTCAAGCTGTTTTGGGGTGTTTTTTTTTAACAGAATCCTCACTTTGTTAAATCTTGCTCTGACTTCAACCTTGGCCGTTTACCCTTCCTGCCACTGTCATTTTTGTGGACACTTCTTAACATAATGTGAGCTGATTAACAAGTATTGAAAAATACTAGATTTTAATAAATGCCTGCATAGTGAGGATTTACTCATTGCATCTGAAGTCCACATAAACTTAATGTGCAATAATATTTCATTAGTATTTACGGTGCAAGAAAACACCTTTATTTAGGCTCCATTTGTTTAGTCTTTACTGGGTATTGTTTTAATTTGCACAATTAGTTCCACATTTACTTTCTGCTACTTCTTTTTAAGGATGTATCCACCTTTACTGAGAGGTGAATGTGGGATGTCCTTTGTGTGATACTCTCAACTGCTACTTAGTATTCTTTCTCAGTGGAAATCTTGTGCTAATTTAAAAAGTATCTGAAAGAAGCATCTCCTTTTTGTTGTGAGGAGCAGAAGTTATGATATTTCCAATAGTCTGTTTCTGTCAAAGCAATACCTTAACAGTCCTCATACACTTTAGTAGACAGGTACATTCATTTACATGAGGTGTCAACACTATTTGTGTACTTCCTGATTTGTTGGCTGTTTCGCTACTTCCTGTACTGAATAAAGTATGTTTAAATCCCACCCAAAGAGAGTGATCTAATTTTTTTAAGTTCTTTGGATCTCAGAAGGTAGAGGCTTGGAAGATGTTCTTTGAACTTTTAGTGCTCTGCAGAGAGTGAACCCAATATGACCCAATTTCCTACTTCTAAATAATTACTAAATAATTATGATTTACACTTCATATTCTTAAAAAAGATAACATGAAAGCAATGGCCCAGCAATGTCAATATCTATATGGGTTTACATGTATTTTTGCATGTGTGTTCATCCTAATAACAATCAAAGTGTCCAAAACAACATAGTAGAATTCTCACCAGTCTGATTAGATATCTTTCCATCTGGACATGGAAAGCAATCGTAGCAGCAGAATGGCTCCCCTTCCTTCTTTTGTTTGCGGTATCCAGGATAGCAACTCTCACTACATACAGAGAGAGGCAGTACCTGACCCATCAATGAAAGAAGAGAGTGTGAAGAGTTCAGAATTTTTTCAGGTTCAGAAAATAACATGATATGTAAGTAGTTTATTTTCTGAGTATCATTAGCAGCATTACTGCTGATAGAAAGAGGAGGAGGAGGAGATTGAATTTATACCCCACCCTTCACTTGGAGTCTCAGAGAATCTTACAATCTCCTTCCCTTCCTTTTCCCACAATAGACACCCTGTGCGGTAGGTGGGGCTAAGACAGCTCTGAGAGAACTGCTCTTGAGAGAACAGCTTTGAGATAACTGTGACTGACCCAAGATCACCCAGCTGGCTGCATGTGGAGGAGTGGGGAATCAAGCCCAGTTCTCCAGATTAGAATCTGCCACTCTTATCCACTACACCAAACTTTGAGTCTTTAATCCATTGTTGTATGCATTAAAAGTAATGAAGGGCCCCAGTCACATGAAAGATTTTGGGCTAGGAGAGGGACGGATCAGGGGCGCAGCAAATGGGCACGATTTCACCGCAAAATCTGGGAAGCGGCACGCACCCATCCCCGATCTGGCCCTTAAAAAACCCCACCTCCCAAGCAGGACTTACTAGAGACGCCGCAGCAAGCGCGGCCGTTGGATCGCCCAAATGTCCATCTTCCAGAGCAATTGAGGCTCCCAGCCGAACTGTTGTCCGTCTTCCAGAGCAATTGAGGCTTCCAGCCGAACTGTGCATGCGCATGCATGCACAGCCGGCGGCCTCCCGCTCCCCTCTGTGGCTTTCTCCCTGACATCTGATCGTGCCAGGGAGCAACTGCGCGGCAGCTCACAGGATCTGTGTGATCCCGCTGCCGCGTGTCTATTTTGGTGCGGTTTTCAAAAGCCACACTTTGCCCGCGCTTCCCTTCCCCCCCGTGTGGCAGGGACCAAGGAATGAAGTTGTTGGAGCTTCCAGAAGAAATTCACACTTATACTGTGAGATCCCTAAGGTTGAGGAAAGGCCAAAGATTCACCTTGGGAATCTCAGCTTGTCTGATAATTGCTGTTTGTATTCTTACTCTGTTAAAGGAAATGTTGTAACTTTAGGAACACAGCAAATTCTGCATGTTATACTTATATACAGTATCAAGCTTGGTACTGATAAACATTATTCCATCCAAGGAAGTTAATAGAAGTTACTGGGTTTTTTTCTTCTGGTTTAGTTCAGGGCTCAATTGGGATTACTTCTTTCATAAGACACTTAAGGATGGTCTGTCAGGTGGAGGCTTGCTACCTCTTTTTAAATGTCATTTATTAACCCCTCCCCGACTTTCACATCTTCCCAGGCAAATTCACATGTCAAGTCATCATGTATGTATGTGGAGTGAATTGAACCTATGAATAGATTTCCATTGAAACAAACAAATAATTTTCTAAGCAATTTCCTTATATAATCTGCTTTGCTCCAGTATTAAAGAATCCAACTCAACTGTCTAATTCAACAGATGACCAGACTCTAATGTTGTTGTTTTTGAATATCTTTACAATGAATCAAACTGAATAACAGAAATTGAATATGAAAGGAGCTTATGTTCAGATGGAACAAATATCCTGCAAAAGAGGAAGAGAAAGAAGGAAGTCTACCTAAAGCAGTCTTTGTTTATGCAGTTTCCTGTGAAAGAGAGAAAGGGAGGAAAGAACCATGTACAGTCCAATACTATGTTTATGCAGAGAGGTACTTCATTTGGTTTTATTCCCAATTATTTGTGTATGACTTTGCAGTTGAAGGGATTATGCAGGTAGTATTCTTGTCAAAGAAATAGAACCTACACAAACTTAACCTATTAATTTTTTTCCCATTGCTCTTAAGAACATTCAGTTCTCATTCACACTTGCTGGGAAACATGGGGGGGAGGCGTGGCTGTTTGCAGCGGCACACTTTGATCTGGTCAGACGCGATCAGATGGGAATCAGGTTTCAGTTCATCAGCACACGTTTTTGGCACACCACAACACAGTGAAAGGAGCTGCTGGAGCGATCAGACGGAGGATGTCCATCTGCGGCCCATCGCAAGTGTTAGCTACTGCACTTTCGCCGGTAGCTTTTAACTGTGGATCTTCAGCTGGACACGACGGGCTGGCAACGGGTGCACGATGCCTGCCAGATGTGCCCGTTTGATCACGCCCTTAAGATCCACCTGGCATCCGTAAGTATCCCACGGCAACTTCTATGTGTGATCGGAGCCCCAGTAAGGAAGAGGCAGCCTAATCACATGCTTCATCAATCATCCTTATCAGTTCCAATGAGAGTCCATTATTTCTTTTCTTATCCATGGTAGACATGGACAATCAAAATTGTAAAGTATGAGAAGAGTGTCTCAATCCAATACCTTTTCTAGCCTTTCAGCAGCACAGTATCCATTCAGATTTGCCTGCTTTCCACAACACCTGTGTTTGAGCCCTACCTGATTAAAACAATTGTGCCATTCAATAGCATCCTCATTAATGGAGACTGCTTTGTCCAGTGGGCCATGGGGATCCATCTTCCCAACTTTCATTCTAACAATAGACTGGTTTGGGTAAGTGACCCAGTTGATAACATCAAATCCAGCTTCAATTTCCCCATTCTGGTCAAAGGAAATCTTATCTCCAGCACTGTTATTAAACTTTATATATCTCAGAAATTGGTGGAGCTAGATAAAAATGAAAAACAGATTATGTAAGAAAAGATGCCAGAGAAATATGGTCATAGTTATTCCAGAAGTATGTAGTGAGAGTTCCATCTTGCATATAACAAGATAAAAAAGGAGACGAGCCATTCTGTTTCTTGAAGGGAAGATGTCTGATCATAAGATACATCATTAATCGAAGGAAATGCAGATGTCCAGTGCTCTGTAGAAAATCCAGAAATTAAAACATAACAAGGAATTCCTAAAGGATTTGTATGATTTTAGAAACAAACTGCAGGGGAAATATAGGTAAGAAGACTTTCAGAAACATCCCTAAATGTATGTTTGTTGCTACTACAATTCTTTTTGTGTGGTTTGCTATGAATACAAAGGAATACATGTGAACATTAGTAGACCACCACACAAAAAGAATCTTAGGTAATCATGATATTGATGTTGTTGCAAGTTAACCAATAGTATTTGGGTTCATGGTACAGAATGTTTGAGTAATGGTTTTCAATAGCACTGAATTATTTTAGGGGATGACAGAGCTCTCAAATATTAGACCTTGGACAAGCTGTAGAGCTGAGGGTTGGAGGCAGATGTATGTGTGTGTAAAGAAATAGAAGGATGAATATGGAGGGCTGGATCCCACTGAGTCATTCCACCAATGACACAAGAGAATCTTGTTAATTTGGAGCATCAAAACCTTGTAATAGTGGGGATTTAGATGAGAATATTGACAGATTAACTTCCAATGATGACTTCCAATTAGCTTCTGTGACGACCTTATTCTGGAGGACTGGTTTCCTTTAAAAGTTCTCTTTTTATTCTGTTTATCTGGGTATAGACGGCTGCCACCAGGAAATTTTAAGGATTTCCAAACCTTTATACTTTACTGTTGCTCTTACCCTTTTGGTAGACCGAGTTCAAGGCTTACGAGGAACTATATGGTCCTGAGGAAGTATTTCTTTCAGAGCTGGTATACTTGAATAAAATATGAAATAATTCATAAATAAAAGGGTAGAACAATGTAACTAGTAATGTGTAAATAATGAACAATTGCGTGGTGTATCACACACAATCTGCTCCTTTACTGACAGGGATCTTTTCATGTAACTTTGTATCACTTGTTTATCTCCATGCCATATAGGTTCACTGTCTCTTTCCAGTCTGTTATAACACCCAGACTTTACTATAACATTTCTTTACCTAAACTTTACGTTTTCATAGACTTAGCCCTCAGATCTCTTATCCTTTCTTTCAGAACAACCTCAGCTGCTCTTAACTGCTTCAACACAGAACTAACTTATTCCACACAGGTCTGCTTCTGACTTCCCCCACACACAGAACTCACTGAACTTATCAACTGTCCCCCTGTAACTGTCACTCCTAACTGACATACATACTCATCCACTCATTTTCACTTCCAAAACCCCTCCCCCTCTCTGTCAACCACCAAGCATACCACACTTGCTTCTCTCAACCACTCTAGTCTACTTACCACAGCCATGCAACCAAACTTTTAAAGAGACACACACACACCAAAAACAAGGAATCATTACAGCTTCCAATGATTATCTTCCATCTTGGTGAAAAATAGTAGATCTCCTACCTATATTGAAGTCACTATCTAATTTATTAATGGTATTGCTTAGGAAAACATGGGCAGTATTTCTTTGTCAGTAATATCTTTGTAGCTGTACAGCTTTGTGAAGGAAGATAGGAACCAAAGATGGAACTAAAAGTGAGAATGCAGTGATGCCAGGAGCAAGCAGAATAGGAATCAGAAAAACCAAAACACCCCAAAATAATCCCTAGAAGTGAGTTCACAGACATAAGGACAGAAAACAGGAAATGCTCTTTGGAAGCAAAGACTATTCATACTGGCTTACTACAATATAGCTTTAATGTAAAAGCTGTTAAAATCCAAAATTTACAGAAACAAAGCAACAATAATAAATGGAAGGCATTGCAAATTTATCAAAAATAACTAAATTCCCAAACCTAACTGAAACCAGAAAGTTTTTGACTTTTTAGGAAACTCCAGTAAAGAGGGAGCCAAGTAAAAACCTTATGAAATAAGCTTGAGGTAAGCAACTGAGAAGGTCCATGTTCTCGCTGGCCCCAATGTGCCCTCTAGATCTGTATTAGGATCTTCATGGGTTTTAAAACTATTTTAAATTATTGGGAAATTCAGATGGGAGGTTCATTACCTGCCATGGCTGAAGATTTGGAAGCTTTTTTCTCTTTCCTTCCATCATTGCTCTGCTAACCTTAGATGAATACAGAGCATTTACAGCATGAGCCACAGCATGGACAGCATTATAGATGCTGTAGCTATGGCCAATCATGTTCATTTCCAGATAAGGCTGAGGTAGGTTTTCCAGTTTCTCCTCTCCAGTGCAGTTACCTATGTACTCAAATTGCCAAGAATTTCTCAGAAAAGAATTTGGGAACATACAGCCAAATGCGAGTGCCCAGAAGTCTTTGATAAAACCATCTTCTTTACTATCAGAAGGACTTCTGCTCTGAAGAAATTCTTGGAACCCTTGAACTTCATTGGAGTGAATGGCAAGAGATAATGCACCATCGAACAATTGTGTATCCCAATATGTTTGGCCAGGATATGATTTCATTTCCATTTGGGCTGTAAGAATCCAAACTTCTCCTTTTGTCTTTTGTAGCATATCTTCAACTCTTGGCAAGCTTAGCAACATTCTGAAAATTACCATGGACAGAGCATCTCCATATAAAATTGCAACATTGGCTTTGCTGTTCATAACTGTAGTATACACTTTCTCTGACCATTGCCCAATTTCTTTAAACTGATTCTCCATACCAAAATTGTAGATTGTTTCTATGAAGTCAAAACAGATGCCATTCTTGGAAAATTCAGGAAGTATATTCTGCATGAACCATTCTAAATTTGCACCAACTCCACCAAAGAATCCAACCCATGTCCACTGGAAATGGAGAAGTAACTGCAGAATCCCCTTGAACTGGAGAGCTTCATTGGGAACCATTTGGTATAAGGAAAGGATTTGGGTGCCTTCTGTCATCAGTGGAGCAGGCCCATAAGAGAACTAATAATAAATTTGTTCATGTGGAAACAGAAATGCTTTCATCTTAGAAAAGAAATGTATGCATGTATGTAGGTGTTCAGTGGTGCCTTAGTAATGGAAAAAGTGTATGTTTGGTTCAAATGTTTTCTTGAGATTCTGCTATGATTATTGAGTCCTGTATTCCTACAATAAATAGTATATCTTGTTCTTTTTAAGTATTTCAATTACATTTTGCAATTGATATCACAAGTCTGATCCATTCTTGAATCAAAATTTGCCAATTGGCAGAATGTTAACTTGTACATTAACTTGCCCTACTTAAATTCCTTGACATGTAATCAGTAGGCATTTTGTTGAGTCTCTCACACGGTAGCAGCTCCCAAATTAGTCTCCATGAGCACACACTTGATCTCTGAACAAAAGCTGGCTTGGAAATATATCAGTATAATGGAGGAGAATGACATCTTTCTTGCAAGACCTTTCCTGCCTTTTTTCCAAATTGAGATTGCTTAATCCAATCCTAAAGATATCTCTATTGGAACAATGATATTGACAGTAATAGATAGGGATCCATTAACAAATTAATCACTGACACACAATCCCAGCTGCCTTCTTTTAAATACAGAGATCCAGTGGACAAGATCAAGGAGAATGCTTGCCAGGGCTTTCTTTCTGGGGGAACGCACTGGAATGGAGTTCCAGAACCTCTTTGACAAAATTCTTTTTAAAATGTTTTAAAGTTCATGAGTTTTTAGTATACAGATTCAATCAATCAAATTTATTGTTACAGTCAACGACCAGTGCACTCAATCATTTTACATAAAAACACTTGAAGAGTATACAGATTTAAAATTTTGTTTCCCTCTTGAGAGTTTTGGCACCTGTTTTTTAAAAGCCCTGCCTGTGGCTCCCAGAGCAGTCAGAGGCCTGCCCATCCCAAATTATGTCCTTACCTCATATACCCCTGCCACCTGTGGCTGCTGTTTCTGGTGATGGCGTCAGAGGCTGGCCAACTCACTTCCTTACCGTTGCCTTGCCTGCCCCTGCTGGTGCTAGTTGCCTTGTGGCAATGCTGTGGAGGGCAGCTGGAGATGCCCCTGATGCTAACTGATGGTTCCCTATCATTGTGGTGGAGAGGCATATTCAGGCAATGCTGGCAGAGGGCATTGATTGGTGTGAGGGAGGCACTGATTGCTGTCCACCTCCAAGAATGCAACGAGACTGTTATACAAAAGAAGGATGGTGAAGTTGTGCCACAGCATCAACAGCCAGGGCAGTGGATAGGTGGGCACCAGGTGGCTCCAATGCTATCCCCAGCACAGGCCTCCAACATGGGGCTCAGGGCATACTGAAGACCATGGATATCAACATCCATCAGCTTACTGTTAAAAACTATTTTCATCAGTGATGCAAGAGTCATTAACAATGTTTCTCTTCTGTTTGCATTCTAGGTTCACACCAAAAGTATGGTCTGCCCTAATACATGAAATGCACCCATCTCTGTATTCAGAATGCAAAGTCATATTCAGAAAGGAAAAGAATTTAGGAATCACTTTTATATTTTCATGTTCCAGACACGTATTTTACCTGAGGAATCTTGTACATGCCCCAAACCTTTGGGATCAGATAGGAAGTTCCAGAGGCAAGACCCTCAATTACTGCAATTAGATTGTCCTGGATGTCACACCTGTAGTTTGGGACAAATCTATTCCAAGGGGAAAGAAGTTGCAGAGCAGCATGGTAGGCCCATCTTGGGTTCAAATAGGTGTCATAGATGCGGAAACCCAAGGTGAGGTTGGGCAAGAGCCTGGAATTGTCATTGATCTCCTTTATGGCAAATACCATGGCCAGGACATGCTGGTAGTTCTGAGTCATTGCACTGTGAAGAGATTTGCATTATTTCTCAATAGCACATTATGGATTTTGGAATATTACATCCACTATTTTATATACCTTGTTCGCCTTTTTCAGTATTTGCATACCACATTTTGCAAGGCAGTCATTAAAAGTAAACATGGGGGGTGCTAAAGACATTGAACAATACAGCTCTTAACAAGAAAAAAACAACACCCATACAGAGATGGGTTTCTGTTTCCATAATGGGAAAAATTGGCAAAAAAGCAAATAAATCAAAATACTTGGAAAGTAAGCAACACAGTGTTTCACAACCTTAATGAATTCTTTCCATCGGTAGAATGATAAAGTCACTATTTCCTGGAATAATGCTTTTAGAAGAAAAAAATGCCTCTTCCAAGGCTTCAAAATCTAGGTTTGATCCTTCGGTTTTGACCTCGCGAACTTCATATGGCACTATTATTTATTTATGGCATTTATAATCTGGCTTGGACTATACAATTGACAGGATGGGGTATTCCGTAATCAACACAATAGGATTAGGGTTCTAGAATCAATCAGAAATCTAAAAACAGAACTGAAACAAAGCATAAGTCTTAACATGACACATGAGTAAATGATACAGAAATTACATAGTAGGACCCGAGTTACAGTATAGAGATCTAATAATTTATCTAAGTAACTTTGTGAATAATTTAGTATGGTGCAACTCTATGGCCTGCGTAGAAGAGCTCTCTTGAATGATTCAGTTTTGCATACTTTGCAGAAAGCCAGGAGAGTGGGAGCCTTCCTGACCTCCTTAGGCAGGCCATTCCATAAGTTGGGGGCCACAATGGAGCAGGCACATGTATGAGAAGTTGATTTTGCCCGATTTTGCCCGTTTGCAGGTTGGCACTTGCAGAAGACCTTGCTCTGAAGAGCAAAGCTGTCATGGTGATGTGTCAGAGGAGAGGCTGTCTTGCAGATATGAGGGTCCAAGGCCATGAAGGCCTTTGTATATAATAGTCAATACTTTAAACTGAGCCTGATAACTGATGTGTAACCAGTGGAATGACTGTAGACTGGGAGTAATATGCGTGCCCCATCTAGCTCCCGATAATTGCCGAGCCACAGCATTCTGCACCAACTGGAGTTTCCAAAGGAATTTTGAGGGAAGGCATTACAGTAGTCTAGTATGGATGTCACCAAAGCATGGATCCAGGCAGCCAGATCAGCTGTATCAAGGTAGGGGGGCATCTTTCGGGCTAGGCTGAGTTGGGAGAAAGCCTTTTTTGCAGCTGCATTAACTTGCTTCTCCAGCAATAGCACTGGGTCCAGTATAACATCAAGGTTCTTAACTGTGTCAGAAAAGGTCAACTGTACTCCATCAAAAGTGGGGAATACAATATCTTTCAAGACCTCTGCCTTCCCAACAAACATTACCTCTGTCTTTTCAAAGTTTAGTTTTAGTTCATTCACTCATAGACAATTTACCACAGCAACCAAGCAGCAATTTAGGACTTGGATGTATAGAGCTGGGTATCATTTGCACATTGATGACAACCAACCCAAAAGCTACAAATTATTTGCCCTAAGAGCTTTACATAGAGATTGAAAAGTATGGGGAAAGGAACTGAGCCCTGTGGAATGCCACAGGTCACGTCCCACACTGATGATAACTAGTTTCCATTCCAACAGCAACCCTTTGAATATGAAGAAAGAATTTGAACAATTTAATGGGCATCCTCTGATACCTATTCCTGCCTCCATCAGCAAGATGGTATGATTTCTTATATTTAAGACTGCAGAGAAGTCCAATAAAAGCAACAAAGAGGCATGGACTTTGTCTCCACAAAGACAGAGGTCATCAACTAAAGCTAGCAGAGCTGTCTCTGAGATTGTAGAGTAAAATTGCATTGCCCAGTTCCAAGCAGGCAGGTGAAGGGCCAGTGATGACCTTTATAAGCATCTCAGAGGTAACAAAGGAAATGCACCATTAAGATCTCTCTTGGTGTGCAACTTACTTGGCTTGGAGTGGAATACCTTAGCATAGGTCTGCAATGTTAAGACCTTGTAACAGAAACTCCCTCATGCATGCTGCAGCTTAAGCCTTACCATGTATTAGGCTGCTGGAGAATTTTAAAGAGATAGAGAGAAAAAACATAGGACAGGGAGAAAAGAACCATTTCTTACACAAAAGATTCATTTAATGGTCCCATAGGTGATTTGGTGAAGCTTTTTGGCATGGAGGTGAAAAAGGTATGATAAACCAGACCACCCAAAATGAGATCTCCTGGATGAAGATACTTGTGAAGAATATTGTGAGGATGCCACATTTTGCATTCAATGGTGTCGGCTTTACACACTAATGGTGGCAGCAGCAGCAACAGCAACAGTACCACTACCAGCACCCCAGGCGCAAATTTCCCCTTTAAGTGCATATCCATAATCACACAAGTGCCTAGATCTGAAAATGATCTCTCTATATAGATAGTCAAATGCATCAACAGAGTATGATGGAGTCCCCTGTGTCCTTGACCCCATCATGGTGCTGAATACTATGGAGACATATTTAAGTATTTGTTCATGATCTTTGTTATTCATTTTTGTTCTTGGCCACGGGAACACCTTAGGGAATTTAGAAAGTGGAAGACTTAATTACAGTCTTGACTGGTAGTTACAGGGTAAATTAAGTGAGGGGATATTCTTTCTATCAGCTGCAATTGGTGCAGAAATTATGTCCTTTCCTGAGTTCTGCCTATACTGATCTATGCCTTAGCAACCTTGAGACTGTACTATAACAATACAAACTTGACCGTGGAATCCTAGGGCTGCCCACAGCACAGAGACTGAGCACTGGCATAATCATGATGATGCTAGTCCACTCCCTATGGGCATTCTGCTGGGGGAAACAACAACATGCAACTCTTTGCAATGCACAGACAGCATAGCATCCCTGGTACAAGAAATATACCCTCTTCCACCACCCCAAAGTAAAAGTAGAAAGGCAAAAAAAAGACATTAAATCACAGCCCCTGGCATTCAAGACCAGCCCCTGACTGAAGGGCCAGAAAGAGAGTTTCCAAGGAGGCACCCCACTGCAATATGTCACCACCAGTCACATAGGGCTAGCTAGGGAATATCACACAGACAGGCATGGCTGAAATGAAAAGGCACATGGATAGCATGGCTGAGGCTCCTGGTTTGATCCCCACATAGGAGGAAGAGAGAGACAGACAAAAGTCCTGAGGCTGACTTTTGCCCTCACAAATGATATAGGAACAGGATGACCAGCCCTGGGAATTGTATATATTAATTTGTATACTTCAAATTTACTTTAACAAAATAACAAGACAGATGGACAGAAAAGAAGAGAAAGGATCTCACAGCAGACATTGTTGGCTATTTAGTTGGGCTGAGGGAATTCCTACTCTTTCAAAAATATTCAATAGCTTGTGGACCAGGGTCTTAGCCAAGGCATTTCTTAAAAAAAAACTGCCCCTGGATAGCACATGGCATAGTCTATGAGAACTCATATGTCAGTATGCCCTGCAGCTGACTTCTCTGAATGACCTATGGTATCAAGAGAGATCTTATCAGAGGAGGATGTTGACTATTGGTAATGGAATAAGGGGTCCTCCTGGTCTTCCAGCTTTCTAGAAGAGGGTGCCCCACTGGACTAGAACATCCCTTGGCTAAGATAAGGTCTTCAAAAGTTTCAAGATATCACAATATTTCACAGATCTGGATAAAATAATAAGAAAATTTGTATGGTATCCGAAAAAAGCAAGAATAAAATACTTCAGGATAAAAAAAGAAAGAGGTGGTTTCGGGTTACCAAATTGGGAATTATATTATCAAGCTATGGCTGCAACATGGATTAAAGACTGGATCCTATTAAACAACTCAAGACTCTTGAAACTAGAAGGACATGATTTGAATATGTGTTGGCATGCATACATTTGGTACGAGAAAGATAGAGTACACTCAAATTTCCAACACCATATTCAATGAGGAGCCCTAGTAAAAATCTGGAGAAAATTCAAAGAAAATGCTACCTGAAAATACCTAGATGGGTCTCGCAGCTCGAAGCTTTTATAAAACCTACTCTTTTAACCAAGAATAAATAAGAACCATATGAAGTATTATTAGATAAAAAGAATGAATGAAAAAGTATAGAAAATTTACAGATGTTGAATATTAATTTGACATGGTGGGAAAATGTACAATTGAAATCGAGATTCAGTAAGGACAGTATAATCGGTTTTTACCAGACACATAGTGAACTAAATAAAATTTGGCTCTCCTCAAGTGATAAAATGATTCAGAAAGTATATAATTTCGTATGAGAAGACTATATGCAAGATGAAATTGTTACATCATCCATGATTTCCTGGATGCAGGATTTAGGAGACAACATTGAGCTGGATGAGTGGGCCAAGATTTGGAAAGCAACAAAATATTTAAGATCAGTAGCATATAAAGAAAGCATATATAAAATATTTCACAGATGGTACTGGTAACCTGACAGAATAGCTAAATGTAATGCAAATAATTCTAAGAATTGTTGAAAATGTAAAAACAATGTTGGATCCTTCTTCCACATGTGGTGGAAATGTAGGAATGTGCATAAATATTGGTCCGACATTAAGAAGATAACACTAGAGATCACAAACATAAATCTAGAATTACTAGCAGAGATATACATATTAAATATAATACCAAACATGGTTACGCAACATGACACCTATTTGCTAACAAATATGCAGCTAGAATACTAGTAGCCAGACATTGGAAAACCAATAAGTTACCCTCGAGATATGAGTTAAAGCACAAATTGTTAGAGGCGGCAGAGATGGATAGATTAAATGTATTATTACAAGGAAAGGATGATACAATATTCCAGAAAAGATGGTCAAAAGTTTACCAATGGTTGGATAAGTAACTTGTATATAAGACTCTATATACATCGTGTGTATTTTTTTTGCCCCCCGTAGGGGGATTTTTTATTGCATTTTTCTGGGTGATTTTTTATTGCATTTTTCTGGGTGAGCCCCTTCGAGATGGTGTCACCAGACTTCGAATACTGCTTTGATAGTGAGTAACTCTCTCTCTCATATGGTGTAGTTGCGTTCTGCTGATGTGAGTTGGCGGGAGTAGTATGCACAAGGCTGTAAAGGCTGGGTGGGGTTGTCTTGCTGAGAGAGGACGGCCCCTATGGCGACACGAGAGGCATCTGATTCGACGGTGAAGGGGAGTCAGGGGTCCGGGTAGCGTAGCGATGGGCCAGAGGCAAAGCAAGTTTTTAGGGTGGTGAAGGCATGGTCTGCCTCAGGTGTCCATTGAAAGGGTTCTTTTGGCCGAAGTAGGCATGTCAAGGGTGTGGTTAATGCTGCATAGGATGGAATGAATTGGCGGTAATAATTGGCAAAGCCGAGGAGTCGTTGGCTGTCCTTTCGATTCTGAGGGGCTTGCCACTGAAGAATGGCTTCCACTTTCTTTGGATCCATCATGATTCCTCATGGTGACACGATGTGGCCCAATAACAGATTTCAGGCACATTTTTCAAGTTTGGCGTAGAGTCCATGGGTTCAGAGGCGTTGGAACACTTGTTGTACATGCTCAGTATGCTGGGTCAAGGAGGCGGAGTAGACCAAGATGTCATCCAGGTAAATAATAATGAACCAGTCCAATAGATCTCGGAACACATCGTTCATGAAGCGCTGGAAGACTGCTGGAGCATTTGTCAAGCTGAATGGCATGACTAGATGTTCATATTGACCGTATCTGGTGCCAAATGCTGTTTTCCATTCATCACCGGCCTTAATGCATACTACATTGTATGTACCTTGAAGGTAAAGTTTGGTGTAGATCTGTGCCCCTTTCAGATGATCCAGCAGTTCAGGGATCAATGGAAGCGGGTAACAATCTCGGATTGTGATTTTATTCAGGGCACGATAATCATTACAACGGCGGAGATCCCCTGTTTTCTTCTTGACAAATAGGACAGGGGACGACAAGGGAGATGTAGAAGGCCGAATAAATCCGCGAGCCAGGTTTTTCTCATGGTAGTCCCGAAGGGTTGCCAGTTCAGGTTCTGCCATAGGATATAAGCGGCCCATGGGTAATGGAGCATCTGGCAGCAGATCAATGGCACAGTCGTAAGGCCGGTGTGGGGGCAGTTGATCTGCCTCCTTTTCATCAAACACGTCTTTGCTGTGCACGAAGCTGTTTTTCAGTATTGCACTTGGAGTTGAATTGGCCCAGAATTCACTGGAAGCTCATGTGTTGATCTTGGCATTTAAATTAAAGCAAGAAATAAATAAAAACCCAACCCTCCAATTAGAGGAAAGGGGTTTTATATTTTATTGAGAAAGGCCCTTATATGGGGAATTTGATAGTTAAGAATAGACTCCAATGGTTAGGATTTGATAACAAAGATATGGACATCATAAAACAAATAAAGCCCTCATTACTGAATTTGGATAGAACAAGTCCATTATTGAGGGCGCAGCAGTCTTCCTTGGAGTTCCCTTCTCTGTGCTATCTTGAGCTACTTAAAAAACCCTATCAATTCCTCATTATAGAAAACCATTTATGCTCATTCAATTAAATTATTTCGTTCAGCTATAGAGGAAGGCCAATTTGCATACATAAACTGGTCCAGTTGTATTTCTGCTTGTAAAAGTGCTCTAGTCTAAACAGAAATGTTGCACTGGATCCAACCCATTCTGTTGGATCTTGACAGCTTTATAACTGAGCTTCACCCTGTACTTCTTAGAACAGCCTGTGTCCCACATGGCTTTTCTCCAGGCAGATGCCATGATCACCAGTTTTCGGGGTCAACCGGTCTGCCCTTAACTTATTTGGACTGGTGGAGGCTTCTGGCAGGATCATGCAGGGGTTACTTATGGCTGGAGCAACTATGGAAAGATCCAACAGAAACCCCATTCAAGAGCAGGCAGCAAGCCGGACCTCTACCCAACAGTTAAAGGGGGATGTGGAGTAAGGGAGAAAGGGACTAAGGTGAGCCAGATCCTCTCCTCTCCCAAGGACTGAGGCTTTGTCTGCAACCCACTGCTAAAGGATGGTAGAGGGCAAGGCATCCCTGGGCTCCATCCTTCACAAGTTGGAGCCTGGCACTTAGTATGGACTCTTTTTTTTTAGTGGGTGGTAAACAGGGATCATTTCTTCTTTTCCCCCCCGCCACAGTTGAAAACTTCTCTTCAAACAAGACAAACATGTTATTCAGGAGAGCCTCAGGGAATACCCAACTTCAGCTACAAAATCCTGTAGCTAACAAACAAGACTGCCATTAAGTCTTCCATTTGTTAAATTCACTGGGGAGATCTAGTAGTCCATAAACAAATGAGTAGCAAAATTAGGGAAAGCAGGTATAAATATATTCTCGTATCATTCAGAACTATAGTAGGCTCATGGCTTCCAGCCTATCGGCAGACAGAATACTAATATCAAAGAGTTGTAATCATGTAGGTTTTCATGACACTGCTGTGGATACCAACAAGAGCATCTATGTTCACTGAGGAGACACCAGGTATGGTGATACTATTGATATTGCTGCTGCTGCTTCTGCCTCCACTGGTGTGTCAGGCACATGCTGTTAAATGTAAGGTCTGGCATCCCCATGAGATTATTCACAAGTATCTTCATCCAGGAGATCTGATCTTGGGTGGCCTTCTTTATCACAGCTTCTTCACCTCCACGCCAAAAAACTTCACCAAAGAACCTCCAGGGCCACTAACTGAACCTTTTGTGTAAGAAGTTATTCTTTTTCATGTACTACATTGTGTAGAATATATTGTCCAGCAGACCAACACGTGGAGAGCCTTCAGCAGCAGTAATGAATGGACGAGTTTCCATTATGCAAGCATAATTTGCAATTCTATGCAGGGTTATTCTGATTTAAAGCCACTCTTTTCCACTTTAAGGTATCTCGTTTCCCTTCAACTGAGTTGCTTCTGAAGTTCAAACAGAGGTCCTTCACAGCACTGATTGGTGCTTGGCAATTCTAATTTACAATGCACTCTTGTAAAATATATTTTCATTTTGATTTATTTTCGTTTCTACTCCTGTTCCCATTCTCCATCTAACCTCAGCAACTATACCAGGCATGCCCATAGCATAAAGACTTGTCTCTGGTCAGCCGAATGTACAAATACTTCATGGAAGGAAAAAGCTCAAAGACAGGTTAAGAAGTCATTATTTTCCAAATTTTCTAAAACCTTCCTCTGCATTTGAAAACAAGGCCATTTGGGTCTTTTTCTTTTCAGCCAGTTTCATTAAATTAAAATCTTTACATGCATTCAGTGTCAGATTATAGCGAGATATAAATTCAGCCTGGTCTCGACAGACCTATGGAGCCATCCCCAGCTACAATCTGCTGGCAAGAATGTCAGTCAGTTTTTTAAACATTTTAATTCAAATGAGAAATTTACTTGATTTGTACTTTTTTGTGTTTTTGTGTGTGCACGCATGTGCATGCATGTGTGTGTGCACCTGGAAGTCATGGCAACCCTCTAGTGACTGACCCCTACTGGGGGCCTGGAGGATATTCAGAGAGGTGGCTAAATAAAACCTGCCCCTATCTCCTGACTGCTGATATTCCAAGGAGGTCTCCCATCCAAGTACTTGCCAGAGTCCACCCTGCGTAGCTTCTGAGATCTGATGAGATCAGGCTTCCCTGGGCTATCCAGGTCAGGGCTAGTAGATCTGTACTTCTAAAGTGGTTCTGGGGATGCACATTTTGCAAACAGGAATATTTTTACTTTCTTTGCATTTCTCTTGCTTACAGCTTTATCATTAAACGTCTTTACTCTGCCATATTGTAAATATACACTTTATTGATATAGTATATTCTATTCTAAAGAGAAATAACATTCTAAAGAGAAATATGCTATATTATAAATCTATTTAAGTTTTCTGTGCAAACCATGTTGGTTTAAGGATTGACTGACTTGTAAACTATGGTATACAAATATTTACAACAATGAGGAAAAGCACACAAAATGGCAATGATTTTAAAAAATCCACAATAAGATACTAAAAAATAATCCAACTGTCTTTGCAGTGCAATGACTCAGAACTACCAGCATGTTTTGGCCATGGTTTTTGCCATAAAGGAGATCAATGAAAATCCCAGGCTCTTGCCCAATGTCAGCTTGGGTTTCCGCATCTATGACAGCTATTTGAATGCAAGGTGGACCTATCAGGCCACACTGCAACTTCTTTCTCCCTGGAACAGACTTGCCCCCAACTACAAGTGTGACATCAAGGACAACTTATTTGCAGTAATTGAGGGACTTGCCTCCGCAACATCCTACTTGATCCCAAGTGTTTTGGGCATGTATAAGATTCCTCAGGTAGGATATATGTGTAGAGTATGACCATTTCAAGTGATTCACACATTCCTTACCTTTCCAAATGTGACTGTGCTGTGGAGATAGAAAACAGTGTATTTCATGAAAAGGGGTAGATCTTGTACTTTATGACAACAGAAAACTTAAGCAGAAAAGAGTTTTTCATTCTGTTTCTTTACCCACTAAAACATTTGTTGACTATAACCTTATTGTTGCTGATGTCCATTCATCCAAGAAAAAAGAACATCTGTATCAGCTCTTTGATCCTGATAATATATAGTATAGATTCAATTTTTCAGTTTAATTTTTTTCATCCTCTTTCACACTTTTATTCCTCTTACCATACTAGAGCAAGTTAAATTCTTCATAGCTGCATACCTCAGTACTCTGGTAAAATGTTTGGAGAAAGATTTTTGTGGGTCTCATAAATGATATTGTTTCTTTTATCATCCATGTTAACCCTCCATGGAGGTAAGTTTATGTTTTGCGGGAAGTGTCACAGAATGGCCCCACTGACCCATAAGCTTTGTTCTGTTTTGTTCCTCTGAGATGTATAGGCACTCAGTGGTCATCCAGAATCTCTACCTGGTGATGTGACCCTCTCCGGAGTTCACCCCACTCTTGCAGGAGTTTTCCCAAGCTTCTCCTTCAATCCACTGCCACCAGCTGATCAGTTTCAGAAATTTATGCCAAAAGGGCCAGTGGTTTTTCTCTAATTTTTACCTACAGTGTAAAAAAAAATCAAATGCACAAGAGAGTCCAGTGAGACAATACCAGAACACACAGACTGGAGCAGAAAGAATGAGCTGGGTATAGGTGCATGGTGACTACTCTGCAAATTGGCATAGTGTGAGAGATTGTATAACATGATTTATTGCTTACATGGCACAGAACTTTGTTAGGGGACCTTACTGTCTTGTGCACATGTTTGTTTCAGCATCTGAGCACTTGCAAATTGCATCACACTGGTCTTATTCAGAATGGTCCAATTATATAGTATCTTCAGCAAAAGACTTCACAGGACAATACTGTACATAACAAACAATGAACACATAGGAATATTAGGAAAATATATAAAACAACTTGTAGGAATGTAGGACTTAATCGCCATAGGAGAATCTCAAGAAAACAATTGTTGCAATGCTTTTCCTCTGAAAACTATTCCACTCTGAAAACATTTCTGCCCACATAACTAATTTTTCCCCTTAGTTCTCTTATGGGCCTGCTCCACTGATGACAGAAATCACCCAGATCCTCTCATTATACCAAATGGTTCCAAATGAAGCTCTCCAGTTCAAGGCCGTTCTGCAGTTACTTCTCCATTTCAACTGGAAATGGGTAGGATTCTTCGGTGGAGTTGGTGTGAATTTAGAATGGTTCACACAGAACATGTTTCCTGAATTTTCCAAGAATGGCGTCTGTTTTGAATTTATAGAAACAATCTACAATTTAGGTATGGATAATCAGTTCAAAGGATTTGATAAATGGTCAAAAGATGTATATAAAATACTCATGAACAGCAAAGCCAATATTGTGATATTATATGGAGATGCTCAGTCCATGGTTATTTTCAGGCATCTCCTAAGTACACCAATCTTTAAAGATATGCTACAAAAGCCAAGAGGAGAAGTTTGAGTTCTTACTGCCCAGATGGAAATTAAATCACAGCCAACCCAAACATACTGGAATATAGAATTCTTCCATGGTGCATTATCACTTGCCATTCACTCCAATGAAATCCAAGGATTCCAAAAATTTCTTCAGAGCAGAAGTCTTTCGGACAGCACAGAAGATGGATTCATCAAGGACTTCTGGGCACTGGCATTTGGTTGCCTCCTCCCAAATTCCTTTCTGATACATTCTTGGCAATTTGAGTACACAGGTAACTGCACTGGAGAGGAGAAGCTGGAAGATCTTCTTCTGCCCTATTTGGAAATGCATATGACTGGCTACAGCTACAGCATCTACAATGCTGTCTATGTTGTGGCCCATGCTTTACATGCTATGTATTTGTTGACACCTAACAGAGCAATGACTGAAGGAAAGACAAAGAAGCTCCAGAGTCTTCAACCACGGCAGGTAATGACAAGAATGCTGTAATCGGAGGGTTAGTTTGTGCAGCATTGTTAGAGATGCTGATATACAGGTAATTTTAACCTCTTGTTGTTGTTATTTCCATGGTGTTATCCCAGATATCCATTTTTTAAAAAAAGGAATAAGTTTTTTTTTCTCGTGAGTGTGCTGATTATCTTTCTGTGTGTTTGCCTATTAATCGCCTGGAAAGTTAGTAACAGAATATGCCTATGTGGCCTTCTCACATACCGCCCTCCCCACCCTAGTTTTGGATCCTAGGTATACACAACAACATTCTTTAGGTGTTATTATGGGTAATCCATGGAAGCTGTCACCCAGGGTCCCAGGGGAAGTGCACATGTATGGTTCTTCACATACGGGTCCTGAATAGTAGCCTCTTTGGACCTGAAACTTTGTGTACATAGTTTGCAGACTGATGTGGCATCTTCAGCATTAAGGAATGACACCATTGTTCCCAAAAATGAAACATTATTATCTACAAATGAATAGATAGAAAATGAGATAGGAAAGAAATTTTAAAAGGCAGTGAAATGGCAAGATATTTGGCATATTAGATAAAATTTAAATGTCTATATTTTCTGGTCCTTATTAAAATATGAAAATCTTTGATATTTAGAAAGCTAATTAGTCTATGGGACAGTTGCATGGCTCTGCACATGTCTCTGAAGAACATGGGAAGAAAGGCTCGATGCAAAAAGGAATAAAAGGAAGCTTGAGCATCTGAGAGGAAGAATTATGCTAGACACTTGGACAAATAGCATGGAGGGACTGGCAGAATCCAAAGACCAGGGAATATGAAAGGGGACTTTAGGAAAGGCCAAGGGAGTTTCCATGGCAGGAACCAGGAGATTTGTCAGATCGATGGAGAGGAAGAGTGCCGAGATCTACAAAAACAATATATACTCCCACTGCACCTCTTTTTTTCCTTCTCTTTCTGTGTGCTGTATTGGTTTGTCCCCCTTTTCTGTTCTAAAAATATATCCTACCAGCATTACTTTCAGATAAGTAGACTTATGCACATCCCAAAACACAGTTTTTCTCCTTAGAACAGCCCCTGTTCCATAAAATGTTTCTTTACAGAGGTTCTATGATCCCTAGCACAGTCTTTTTGGTGGTCAAAGGACACCCCTCTTCACCAGCAGCTTGGACCCAACCCATTGCCATCCAACTCTATCTATCTGGGACATCCCATTCCTTGTTACCTGTTTTCTTTATTTGTCTCCTTTTTTATATATAGCTCCACCACTTATTAAAAGGTGTGTCCTTTAACAACAGAGTCAAAGGACACCCCTCTTCACCAGCAGAAATGATGCTTGGACCCAACCCATTGCCATCCAAGTCTATCTATCTGAGACATCCCATTCCTTGCTACCTGTTTTCTTTATTTGTCTCCTTTTTAATAGCTCCATCACTTATTAAAAGGTGTGTCCTTTAACAACAGTGCCGGTGACAAAGTTTCCTTTAATGAGAATTGGGAATTAGTCACAGAATTTGATGTCATCAACTGTGTCACCTTCTCAAACCAATCTGTCATTCAAACTAAAATTGGAAGGCTGGATCCCCAGGCACCTGTGGACCAAGGAATCATCATGAATAAAGGTGCCATTGTGTGGCATAACTGGTTCAATCAGGTAGGAATTGAATTTTGGGAACTTTCAGTTTTAATAACATATGCTGGGAAGGGTCAGTTGTCTCCCACAATAGTGGATACATTTCACACTATGAAAAGAGACAACTAGAAGAAGAAGAGAAGAGATTGGATTTATACCCCACCCTTCACTACCCAGAGGAGTCTCAGAGTGGCTTACAAACTCCTTTCCCTTCCCCTCCCCACAACAGACACCCTGTGAGGTAGGTGGGGCTGAGAGAGCTCTTGACAGAAACTGCTCTTTTTCAAGGACAGCTCTTATCAGAACTACATGTGTCTTTCTCTATGATATCTTTCCATTATCTGCAGTTGCACTTTACATCATCTTTAGTTCATGTCTTCAGCAGCAAAGACATAAAATTAATTTTCCAAGTTATGTAAAAGTGATGAGTTTCTTGCAACTGAATATTACTTTTCACTGTGACTGTGCAATTATATGCAGAGTTACTCCAGTATGAATGTATTGAAATTAACAGGGTAGAGTAACCATTCAAAGGATTGCATTATACATCTTTAGTTCTTCTCAGGTGTCATATTTGTTTAGGAAATTATTCTCTGCAGAACATGAATAGTTAATATGTCATGTTATCCTCTGTGTAAGACGCTGCAATCTGTATTATAGAAAACAGCACCTTTGCTTCAGACTTTTATCAATGATTCAAGAGGGTTGTCCATAAAAAAAATATGAAGAGCCATGCTGGATTAAACGTCCATTAAGTCCAGGGTTGTGTTCACACAGTGGCCAAGCAGCTATCTCTAGGAAGCCCAGAAGCAGGATGACTGCAACAGCAGTCTTCCTCACATGGTTCTTAGCAACTGATATAAAGAGTCACACTGCCTCTGGTGCTGGAGAGAGTAGATACCCCTCATGCCAATTGTGACTAGCAACCATGGATAGCCCCATCCTCCATGAATTTGTCCACTCCCCCTTTTAAGCCTTCCAAGTTGGTGGCCATTACCACATTCTCTGGCAGCAAGTTCCACAATATAACTGTTAGTCCAGCTAAATAGGAGTTCTTTGAATACCAGTTTTTGTTCTTAACTTGAATATTGACATTCCTTTTCCTTGATTGATGGGATAGGTTCAGCCCCTTTCTCTGTGTAATGGCCACTGCCATCCTGGTAACAGCAAGAGAAGGAAGGAGGGGGAGCCTTTCTGCTGCTACGATTGCATCCCATGCCCAGAAGGGAAGATATCGGACAAGAATGGTGAGAGTTGTCATGTGCAAGTTCATCAAACGGGCTGGCTGCAGCACAAAGGAGCATGCATGCAAGAGTAGCATTGAGATTTGGGGGGATTTCTTCATCGTTATTGGTTAGTTATTTGAGACAGAGTGGTGAGATCAAGCACTCTCTAAAATAGAGACTCCAAAGACGGGATGCATGGTCCCTGATTATCCTCATCTTCAGACTCGCATGGTAGTCTTCAGACTTGCATTGTATTCTTCAAACTCACATCTTCAGACTCACACTCCATGGCCTCGCACATAGAACTGATTATGAACTAGGTTCAATGCACATATGTATGATAATGGGAAATGACACTAAAAGAAGCTATGAAAGCCAGCCATTGCACTAGATTGTCATGTGATTGACATTGCCCATGTTCTTTTTTCAGACATGAGTGACTGTTTTACATGCCCAGATGAACAGTATCCAAACAAGAATCAGAATGCCTGCATTCCCAAGGTCGTCAGTTTCTTGTCTTATGAAGAACCATTGGGGATTGGATCAGCTGTTAGTGCTCTTTCATTTTCACTCATCACCCTTCTCATCCTAGGACTATTTACAAAGCACCACGACACTCCCATTGTCAAAGCCAACAACAGAAGTCTCACCTACATGCTTCTCATCTCGCTCCTCCTCTGCTTTCTTTGTGCCTTGTTATTCATTGGCCAACCTGAGATGGTGGCCTGTCTTGTACGACAAATAGCTTTTGGCATTATTTTCTCAGTGGCTGTTTCCTCCGTGTTGGCTAAAACTATCACTGTGGTTCTGGCTTTCCTGGCTACTAAGCCTGGATCGAGCATGAGGAAGTGGGTGGGGAAAAGCTTGGCCACCTCAATTGTTCTTTCTTGTACTCTTATTCAAGCAGGCATTTGTATTGCATGGCTGGTAGCCTCTCCCCCTTTTCCAGATGCTGATATGCAGTCAGTGATTCAAGAAATTACACTGGAATGTAATGAGGGCTCAACTGCCATGTTTTACTGTGTCCTGGGCTACATGGGTCTCCTGGCCATCGCCAGCTTCACTGTGGCTTTCCCGGCTAGGAAGTTACCTGACAGTTTCAATGAAGCCAAGTTCATTGCTTTCAGCATGTTGGTCTTTTGCAGTGTTTGGCTGTCCTTTGTTCCCACCTACCTGAGCACTAAAGGGAAATACATGGTGGCTGTGGAAATCTTCTCTATCTTAGCCTCCAGTGCTGGGCTGTTGGGTTTCATCTTTCTCCCCAAATGCTACATTATTGTTCTGAAGCCTGAGTTGAACAACAGGGAACAACTTATAAGGAGGAAACACTAAACATATTAATTGTCCCATGCATAATTTTTCCTAGTATCCAGTTTTACAGTTTCTAATTTTAATTGGCCGTGGCATGGCTTACATTGGAAGAGAATTACAATATCTTCTTGTTATAAAGTTGATCTAGATGCAATACAAATAAAGTCTCTTCTTAAATTTGGTGTAATTATTCTGTGTTCCTAATTCGCTTTTTTAGTCTCATGGCATCCTTTACATTAGATACTATGCTTAATATTAAAAGCAGGGTGGAGTTTTCTGAATATATGGTGCATATCCATATACTCAATATTGGTATGCCATCTTTCCATATGACCACATTGGCTCAAGGCACCTCACAATATCCTGCTGAAAAAAAAATGCTGAACAATACACAAACAAATACAAGGGGGAAATAGACAATTAGGTAGGAAAAAACACCAATACTACTTGCCCTTCAGATAATCACTCCTTATATTAGCTGATAAATGCTACCACAAGATAATAACTTTGCAACTTCTGTGGACCTTGGACAGTATAGCTGCTCTTTGCATCTCCTAAGAGAGGGCATTGCCTAGTCCAATCTACACTGCTGCGGATAGCACAGCTCACAAGAAAGGTTCAACCAGGAAGAGACTCTGGGAGAATCTGAGGTGGCAAACATGCTCTAATACAAGAGTGGCCCATCAGTCAGCTAGCCCCAGACAGTGTAGTGCTTTAAGAATCAGATCCTGGACCTTAAATTGACCTTGGAAGAATACAGAAAGTCAATATTGCTGGTTCCAAATATGCTTCCAAATAGCCAAATTTTGTTTGAATTGTTGTAATCTAACTGCAAGATTGCAAAAGCATAGCTGTATGAACAGAGCTCAGGAAGGGTTGTGATTTATGTACTAAGAGCATCTGACAGAAATATCTTTTAAACCTGACTGAATTTACTTAATCTTCTAAGAAATGTGCAGGATCCAATAATACCCCTTAATCTAATTAAGCTCAGCTCAGCACTATCCACTGTGGTAGAACACTCTCTTCCAAAGGCTCTGCTTTACAAAACAGTGTCACTCCTATGTAAGCTAGACTTCAGACCTTCCTGTCTCAGAAAGTGGAAATGATCTACTCTTGTTCCTTGTATCGTCCCCACTAACCTGGAGGACAGCTGTTTTCTTTTACACCAGCTTCTGATAAAGTTTTAAAATACAGTGTTAATGTAGTTTTGGAAATATAAATGAGATCCATATTGCTTTTTCAAGAGAAAAATAACATTGTAGAGCTGGGGAAAGTACAGAGGAGGTCAACCAACATGATTTGGGAGTTGGACCACCCGAAGAGTATGGGACTTCTCAGTTTTAAAAGGAGGCAACTAATGGGGGACATGATAGAGGTTTATAAAATTATATATTACTAGGCATAAGACTCGTTGTGGAAATAAATACAACGAGCTCTAGAAAGAGGCTCTGGGAGAGTGCCCCGGCCTTGGGCACTCAGCATCAATTTGCTGTGGTGACCTCAGCAGTGTATAATGATACAGAATTCACCATTTTCTCCAGAGGAACTGATCTCTGCTACCTGAAGAGCAGTTGTAATTTTGAGTGCTCTCCACCCCTCACCTGAAAATTGGCAACAATGAATCCCCAGGAGGAAATGGCTGGTTTGGAGGGTGGAGTCCATGGCATTGTACTTGTCTGAGGTCCCACCTCTCCACAAACCCCACCTCTCCAGGCTCCACTTCTCAAATCTCCAAGAATTTCCCAACCTGAAGGTGGCAACCCTATTTCCAAGTCAACAATCAACCTACCTTTATCTGACCCTCTGACTTCAGCTTTCTATCTCCTCCCCCTCCCTCCTAGACAGCAGTTGTAATTCTGAGTATTTTCCAGCCCCTACCTGGAGATTGGCAACAGTAGTTCCCAAAGAAGGGAATGGCTGGTTTGGAGGGTGAAGTCTATGGCATTGTACCTGTCAGAGGTCCCACTCCTACTCAAATCTCACCGTCTCCAGGCTCCACTCCTCAAATCTCCAGGAATTTCCCAACCTGGAGTTGGCAACTCTATCTCCTTCCCAGCCACGCATCAGTCTGCCATTATCTGACCCTCTGACTTCAGCTTTCCATCTCCTCCCCCCTCCCTTCTGGACAACAGTTGTAATTCTGAGTGATCTCCAGGCCTCTCCTGAGATTGGCAACAGTGGTTCCCCAGGAGGTAATGCCTGGTTTAGAGGGTGAAGTCTATGGCATTGTACCTGTCTGAAGTCCCACCTCTCCTCAAGCCCCACCATCTCCAGGCTTCACCCCTCAACCTGGAGTTGGCAACCCTATCTCCTTCCCAGTCTGCCCCTCATTCTTCAGCTTTCCGTCTCCCCCACACACACCTGTAGCCTCTACCATGTTCTGAAGCCTTTTTTATATATATTTTCTTTATTAGTTTTCATTGTTAAAGAAGACAAAAACAAAGAACAAAACCAACAACCAAATAACGAAACAATACAACAACAGATAGCTCTAAATCGAGCAACTATAACTATGTGACTGTATGTAACTATAAAGTAATATAATAACAAAGATCTATATACAGTATAACAAATTTCCTTATGCAGATATCCTCAACTCATTTCGAATCCCAAACCTCTAACGCTTCTATAATTGTTGCCAATTTTACAAAATTTCCCCATACTCTTTTCTTCTATAATATAGGTCAGCCGTTCCATTTCTGCTAAATCTAAAACCTTGAAAATTATATCTTCCTTCGTAGGAATATTCTCATCCTTCCATTTTCTTGCGAAAACAATTCTTGCTGCAGTTAAAATTTGCATTAGGAAGTAAGTTTCACTATTTGAGAACATCTCCGGTATCATATTTAACAAAAAACATTCGGGCAACAAGGGTATTCTTTTGTCTAATATTTCATCTATCATTTCTTTCACTATTAACCAAAATCTTTTAGCCTCACCACATGTCCACCACAAGTGGAAAAAAGTACCCGTACAGTATTTACATTTCCAGCATTCCTTTCCTAGCTTATCATTAATTTTATTTAATATGGCTGGCGAAATGTACCATCTATAAACCATCTTTACAACATTTTCCCTTAGTGCACTTGATCTTACAAATTTTATATTCTTGATCCACACTTTGTCCCATTCTTCAGGCTTAATATTTCTCCCTATATCTTTTTCCCATGCAGACATTGCTGGTTTCATATGGTCATCTTTCGTTCTCCAATTTAACAAAAATTCGTATGCTTTTTAAATAAATTTTTCTTTCTTATCTAACCAAATCTTATCTAATTCCGTTTGATTCGAGTAAATACCCATTTGCTTATCTTTTAACCATATTGACCTCAGTTGTATTCTTTCCCACCATGTAAGATCAGTACCTTGTTCTTTCAGGACTCCCTCTGGGGGAAGATCAACCCTTTCATCTATGAGATCTTCATATCTCCATCTGGTATATTTTATATATAATGTAGGGAGCACAAACGCCTCAATAGGGGATACCCATCTGGGCGTTTTTTCGTAATAGGCTTTTATTTCGCCCCATACTTTAAACAACACTTTTCTGACAGTGTGTTGCTTGAATATTGTTAAAACTGACGATTTACTATACCATAGATAGAAGTGCCATCCCATCGGGATGTCGTGTCCTTCTAAATTTAGGATCCTTCTGTCATCTTGATTTATCCAGTCCTTAACCCATAACATCGCGGATGCTTCGTAATAAATGCGCCAATCCGGAAGCGCTAAGCCCCCTTTTTGTTTTTTCCCCTGTAAATATTTTAATTTGATCCTTGGTCTCTTTCGTTGCCAGATGAATTCTTTCACTATTTTTTCTAGGTCTTTAAAGAAATCTTGGTTACTTAAAATCAGTATATTTTGAAATAAAAACAGCACCCGTGGTAGAACATTCATTTTTACCGTTGCGACCCTTCCAAGTAATGAAATGTGCATATCCCTCCACCTTTCTAAATCTTTTTTGATATCTAGCAACACTTTTTTGTAGTTATCTTTAAACAGAGAACAGCACCTTTTCGTTAAGTAAATACCTAAGTATTTCACCTTCTTTTGTATTTCAAATCCCAATATTTCTTGCAGCCTTTTTTCTGTTCTATCCGGACAGTTTTTAACTAATATCTTTGTTTTCTTTTTGTTAACTTTTAATCCCGCTACTTCCCCATATTCCTTCAAGACCTGAATAAGCTGTTCTATCGAGATTTCAGGATCTTCTAAAATAAATATCATATCGTCGGCGTATG